ATATTCAGTCGAGGGTCAAGCGAGTCATACGGACGAGCGTTACTTGTTTTGACAGTGAAAATGATGTAAAAATCGAGTACGAAAATTTAAGTATTTCAATCTTGTCGATGTGTTTCACTGATAGTTATAGCTAGAGATGTGAAACTTTCAGAAATAGAAGACCTTGATTCGATATATACGTGGAAAAAATTTCAGCTCTTTACATTAAGAAAAGGTATGAAAAATATCATTAAACATTTATCATCAGTTCTTATGAGGCACCCTTTACGTTTAAGAGAAACATCTAAGTTATTATTCAAAATTTATTCTACTCAATTGACATTCTTAGTAAGAAAGTGCATTATTAAGAAAAATGTTAAAATAATTTTATCAAATTTATTTTTCACTCTTTTTCGTTATATTTTAATGTGAGCCATGTAAAAAATCATGAGTTGTCTGATTCGAGTTCGAACATAGATGAAAAACTAAATGTCTCCTTTCACTTCGCATATAAATGAAAAAACAGAACGACCCTCCTCCCTGTCTAATACTAAAAAGCGAAAAAAAAATTTTATTAAAACAACCACACTCATGCTAAGTCAGGAAGAAAAAGCAAAGGATAAATTTTATATAAATTATAGATTTATAAATTGAATAGCATACTCCTGTGAAAGCAGCAAAAAAAAAGGCAAAAGATAAAAATTTTAACCTAAACTCTGATAATAATGCTAATTTTGACTATTCTTCCCTGAGATACACGAGAAACCATCTGAGATGATGCAGAAAACACAGACGAACATACACAGACATCCTATGATAGTGAAACCACTATCTGATTTCCTAGTAGCATTACCAGGGACGTTGGTGGAATGATCTGGGATTCTAGCAACAAGACCTGACGTGCTAGTAGTATTTTCTGAGGTTATAGTAGCAAGACTTCGGATGCTGTGACATGACGTCGGATGCTACTATCATGATTCAGGATCCATGTAGCTTTACACGGGAAGCTAGTGGCATCATCTAGGATGCTAGTAGCATCTCCTGAGGTAGCAGTTGTATCAGAGGCTTTGATACCAAAAGCTCAGGTGATGCTACTATATAGTTATAAGGGTATAGGTATAAGAATGTAGATATAAGGATATAGATTTAAAGATATAGGTGTAAGAATACTGTCATAAAAATATTGGTGTAAGAATATAGCTATAAGGCATTGGCGTAAGGATTTAGAAAAAGAAGTATCAGCATCGCTATCTAGTTCGTGGGATATAGTCATTATAGTGTAGCAACAACGTAGATGGATTTGTAATAGTTAAAGACTTGGATGCATGAATAACTGAATCCTGATGTTGCGGGCATTACCTTATTCTCTGTAGAGACTTAAGAAATACTTACAAGACGGACCGAGTACTCCATCGATGTGACTTGCATAGTACACTCGATAACACATTATTATTCTAAAACTCTAATCATCCATTTTTATTGCCTTGGTAACCATTCTGTTGAATTAGAGACTCTATTGCAAGTATACCGTCACAGTTTGACTGATATTTTATGTTTGTCGTTTAAGATCTTTTCTGATTGCTCGTTCTATCTCATTCGTTTGACACAAGGATGGATTTTGCCTCCAATGAAAATATCAAATTCTAGTTCAACATCACAGAACATCTTTGACTATGAAATCTGTTCAGCATCGTTTCCAGCTGCGTGGACTAGTTGCCATCCTTGTGTTTCTCATCTGTCTTCTCTTCCAAATCCTTTCTTTTGCATTCTTGTCTGTCCATATTGATTCACACATTGCATACTACTTTCTTCAATCGAACAATATCGATGCTTCTCGGATGAAATCATCTGATCTATGTAGTTTTCGTGCGACTGACCGTGGCTACCATCAATATGTCATTGCAGTGAGTCTATTTGGACCCAAGGAGAATTCACTCTTTCAACGTGAACGATCGGTTTCATTTCTACACGAACTGGTTGAAGAAGCTCGTCAAGTGTATCCAGGATGGATTCTTCGAGTGTATCATGATAACACTCTAGATGATAAAGTGGTACAGACCGTGCAACATCAGCACAATCATGTCGATTTTTGTAACATGGCCAACAAGACACTCACTGCTCCAAGAATGTGGCGATATTTGCCAGTCGGCGATCTGCTTGTAGACGTCAGTAAGTACACGTTTGCACTTCCACATTTATAGTACAATCACTTACTTTTGTTTACTCGCTATACTGTTTTGGATCCCTAGTGGAAGAAAAATTCTATACTATAGTAGGTGATGGACTAATGGTCGCATCAGATCACTGATTTGACCGTTCTTTTTATATGTAGCATTTCATAAATGGTCTGACGAATACGCCATTCTTGCTATATATCTGGGACTACCAGTCTATTCATTTATGTACGACGGCTGGGCGATATCCTCCAAAATTGAGAAATTGTTTCACTTATAGCAAAAATCCTTCACCCCACACAAAGTCAAGCAGAAATGCTTTTCATAGCGAAACATAATCTACCACTGAATGTTCTCGAGTAGAAACGCATCAATCACATCTACTCTCACAAGGAGAAACGTAAAAGTTATCAGGAGAAATCGATCAGATATTCTTACATTATAAGAAGAAATGAATGAAATTATTTTTTTCACTATAAGAAGAAGTCCTAGTAGAAATGGATTTTCTCCAGCAGAAATGTAAATATTTCTAGCAGATATCCGTTATGTATTTTAACGTTAATAAATAGAAGTGAAAGGTGAAAAATAGGACGTGGAATTGAGACTAGCAGATATGCACATGTATTCTTTCGTTCTGTTTCTTCTCGCTGAAGTATTTCTTAATGGTAAATTAAACGTGATATATGTATATGTTTACATTCTTTTTTCAATTTCTCCTTGATACGTGTTACTTTTTGTGGGGTGAACTATTTCTTCTGAAACGGAAACAATTTCTCGATCGGTTGGTATAATCGTCCACTGCTGTTATGCACAAGGTATAACATAACTATAGGCCTCTTATCTATGCATACAAAAATGTTTCTTTCATTTCAATAACGAATGACATTGATATGTTACTGACATGTGTATTTGAGACTATGCAAATGCTAACTACTGTCTACGCAAGAATTCTGGGACACTTAAGAATGGCTCTGCAAAATTTTATATTCCATTTGAAATAAACTTTATATATATTTTAAGTATAGTTACTATAGTCGTATCAACTAAAAGTAGAACTTTAATTTTGATTATTTTTGCACAACTTTTATAAATGTTATTATTCATTCTCCATTTAATAGATATTGTGTCTATATATGATTGAGATGTGGTTGTGTAGTACAACTCATCTAGAGTTCATACCATTGATATTGTTTCATTAACAATGAACAGAAATGGATAAATAAAAGTTGTTTAGTTTTGAGGGTGTGGGCATTGATTTGATTTTTACTTGTTCATATGTCATTGCCAAATGGATGATTATATGACTAATAGAGAGAGAACACTATACACTACTATATTGGAGCATGAAATCAATTAACTCTTTTCCTTTGTCATAAAAGAGCGAAGAACACGATAACAGCCCCATGATGGGAAAAAAATTATAGCTCCATCTTTCTTTTCATCATAGGGCGATTGTCGTGTTCTTCGCTCTTTTATGACAAAGGAAAAGAGTTAATTGATTTCATGCTCCAATATAGTAGTGTATAGTGTTCTCTCTCTATTAGTCATATAATCATCCATTTGGCAATGACATATGAACAAGTAAAAATCAAATCAATACCCACACCCTCAAAACTAAACAACTTTTATTTATCCATTTCTGTTCATTGTTAATGAAACAATATCAATGGTATGAACTCTAGATGAGTTGTACTACACAACCACATCTCAATCATATATAGACACAATATCTATTAAATGGAGAATGAATAATAACATTTATAAAAGTTGTGCAAAAATAATCAAAATTAAAGTTCTACTTTTAGTTGATACGACTATAGTTAAAGTTTCATATAATATTAAAACTAGAAGTTTTGCGTCTTTAGAGTAAAGTATGAAAGATTAACCAGTAACTATACTTAAAAAATATAGATAAAGTTTATTTCAAATGAAATATAAAATGTCGAAGACCCATTCTTGAGTGTTCTAGAATTTTTTGCGTAGACTGTAATAACCTTGTCTCTTTCTTTCCTCTCTTTTTATTTGAAGGAAAAGTAGAGAAAATTGTAAAATGATGGTAGCATAATTATAGGTCCTCTTTGCGAAGAACATTTTTTTTTCTTCTTTTAAAGTGTACTAAACCTTCAGTTTCAACATTTTATTGCAATATTCATTGTTTTCTGTCTTTTCCTTTCTATTTGAGAATTTATCAGGAATATTTTACTTCAACATCTCAAGATTTGAGACATTTTTTAAGCTTTCATCATATGGTAGCCATATTCGGTCGAGAGATTATTCTTTCATGATCCCTATCCATTTAAAACTAAGAAAGTGGATATGATTTCTCGAAACAACATCATTAGAATCGAAATTGTACTATAAGAAACGACAAAGAAAAGGATTTGACTTGATAAAACTAGTAAACTCTTTTATTATGTAAGGAATTTTTCAGAAAACTTTGAAGTAGAAGTGTAATTTTAATCCATTAACCAAATCTACTGGCATGGTTGGAAAGAGCACATCAAACGCTACTTAGAACATGCAAAAGCTAATACGAAGCATGACTTCTAGAAAAAGTTAATAGAATACACACAACATTGACTAATTGCAACAGGTAAGAGAAAATGGCTGTTATCCATGTAACGTCACTAGAGCAAATATAGAGAGAAAGAAAAGAGAAGCTTCTTACTTTTCTGTTATTAGCGGAGATATATTCTTCTAGGCAGCTGAGCAAAATTCGTCTCGGCTGCTTTTGCTAAGGAATCGACAAAGTATTTTCTTTATCTCTGTTCTCACTTAGTTGTTGCCATTTGTCAATATTGTGTGTATTCTATTAACTTTTTCTAGAAGTCATGCTTCGTATTAGCTTTTGCATGTTCCAAGTAGCGTTTGATGTGCTCTTTCCAGCCATGCCAGTACATTTGATTAATGGATTAAAATTACACTTCTACTTCAAAGTTTTCTGAAAAACTCCTTACACAATAAAAGAGTTTACTAGTTTTATCAAGTCAAACCCTTTTCTTTGTCGTTTCTTATAGTACAATTTCGATTCTAATGATGTTGTTTCGAGAAATCATATCCACTTAGTTTTAAATGAATAGGGATCATGAAAGAATCATCTCTCGGCCGAGTATGGCTACCATATGATGAAAGCTTAAAAAATGTCTCAAATCTTGAGATGTTGAAGTAAAATATTCCTGATAAATTCTCAAATAGAAAGGAAAAGACAGAAAACAATGAATATTGCAATAAAATGTTGAAACTGAAGGTTTAGTACACTAAAAGAAGAAAAAAAATATTCTTCGTAAAGAGGGCCTATAATTATGTCATACCCTGTTTTTTAAGATACGAAACACTTTATAGTACTGCGTCGCGAGTTTTCTTTCTTCCTTTCTTTCTTGCTTTATTAATGCGTCAAAACTCGAATACCATCTAGTTTTCTTTCTTTTTTTCCTACTTATTTGACGTACGCATCAAAAGAAGTCATTTTGTGTCGCGATGATCTCAAGAACGACAAATCAGAAAAAGTCCGTTGAAACGTGAAATGAAAGAATCGAGAACAAATCGTAGAAGTTCGTTTTCCATACTTCACTAAGATAAGCGGTTGGATTAGAAATAATTTAGGAAAAAGAGGAAATCGAAAAATTTTATGCTCGTTATTTAAGTCAGCCGATCGATAGAAATAGAAAGTTTCCAGTTTAGAAAGATAAATAAAGACTGTTTCCAGTAAAGCATAAATATCTTTGTAGGAGAAATCGTTTCAGAAAAAAAACCGTGAAGATGATTATTCAGTTTTTTTCGAAATTTCGATTTTTTCAAATAATCGATATTCGTGCTTCGCACCTTATTTCGCATTCTCGACAAAGTCGAGATGCCATCTAGTTTGACTAGATCTGGGAAATATGTTTTCGGAGAAAAACCCGGACTGAAAACGCAGCTTGTCTCAAAAATAGTGGGCGATATTTTATGAGATGCATGTGTCGAAGACACAACTTCATGTATCCTTCGTGATTTATCGTTACTCGGACCAGATACTGAATGTTGATATCACAGACAGATGAAGAAATCGTTTTTCAAAGTGGAACTAACGATCTTTTCTCAGAAGATGCGAGAATTGGATTCCCTTCCATCACATCTAGAAACTCTTTTGTTATTATACAGATACGTTCTGCAGCACTGCGGTGGTTAATTCTATAAAACAGTCTTATTATTATTCTTTTTTTGAATCTTGAATAGCGATTATATTACGATATCATAGTTCTTCATGAATTGTTTAGTGATCAGTCGTGACTTGGATTCACCTCTCACTCAACGTGAACGTGCTGCTGTCGATGAATGGCTTTCTATGAAGGTTATCTTTCATGCCATGAGAGACCATCCTCGTCATAATACTCCACTGTTAGCCGGAATGTGGGGATTTCGATCCGAACTAGACAGAACACTATCACTTTACATTCTCAACAAACTGCTAAATAAAACACTCGTCCAAGCCTATCTAGGAATTGGTGATCAACCATTTTTAGTGAAAGAAGTATGGCCTCATGTGGAAAATTCGTCTGTCATTCACGATAGCTTTCATTGTCGGAGTTTCGAAGGACGTGGAAGACCATTTCCAGCTCAAAGACCTTTGATCAACGGTAGCAATATCTTTGTTGGATGCATCAAACCATGCCGTCATGATCAATATATGTTCGGTGAATGTCCTGTTGCTTGTAGACCTAAGAATCACCAAGATTGGATCTATTGCTGAATCCATCAAAGTGACAACAAATCTTTTCTGATCGAATTCAAATTTTTACTCAATGACAAACGTCGATAAACATTATGATGTTCATTTATGTGTACTGATCTTCTCTATGAAACGCACTACCATTTTCTCTTTCTTTGCTTCAGTTGTTAGTAGTGTCTCAACTGATAATTGTTGTAAAGTTTTTATGTTGCAAAATGTAGGACCTTTCTATCCCATCATCTCATCTTTTATGAGACTGAAGGAAATTCAGATGAACTTGTTCAACTTGAGTGTATTCCTGGAGAGATTCGTTTTGTAGAATTGGTAATACTTATTGTTAATTGGACGATAGAAATCGAGTCTCTAGAGAAGTTGTGATCGTCAAGAACACTGATGTCATAAGAGTCCGTTTTTCTAGATGAAACATCGACGTGCACAAATTCTCATTTACATTATAGAATTATTCGTAATATTGATGGTATTCTTATACTTGAGATTGGTATTTTCAAGGAGAACATTCAATCATCCAACTCTATTGTGCAAATATGGTAAGTTTATATCGATTCATTAGGTGATATAATTATCTTTCCATTATAGATCAAGAGGCCAATACTGAATTTGTACCACCAGAAATGCGCTCGTCAGTGAAAAATAGCTCGATATGCTATGCAGTGGCCGACTTATTGACCATTACAGAATGGAAACAAGAAAAAGTATTGAATAGAACTTATCGACATCCTGTACACTTGATCAGTCAGTGGTATCAAGAAATGAACATCCGTAGACGTCGCGAACTCATCAATGTTTTACATATGAATGTGATCAACGAAGCAGTGACAAATATTCATCTGCTTCAACCATACAATGCGCCTTGTACTGTTGAACATGATGTTCAAGTTGATCCGAGCTTTCCGTTTGCTCTTTTCAAATCCAAGTTGATAATTCGATCTCTTAAAAAATCATCATCTGAGCGCTTGACTATCCAAGAAGCTATCGATTATGCCAATGAAAATATCTATTCAGGCTATGCTATTCTCATCAATTTGGACATTTTCTTCGATCGAAGTTTGACACTTTTACGAAACTCTCGGATGATTGACTGTAAGATGGCTTTTTATCTTTCTCGATACGAGATCGATCCAAACATCACCACACTCGGTCTTCAATGCTCGAAGAAATATGTGGGTAGTCATGACGTTCTTATCTTTCATCCACCGATGCCATCGAATATTTCTCGCCAACTGCCATTCGAAATGGGCACATGGAATGTAGAAATGAAAGTTGTTTATGAACTCATTCAGCATGGTTACACTGTGCGAAACGTCTGCAAGTCATTGCGCGCATGGCATTTGCATTCTAGTCAAGTGCGACATCGCAAAATGCCTTGGAATAAGATCATATCTCACAACTTACTCCACTTGACTCTGCGCTATCCTGAAACTCTATAAAGATGATTTAACATACAAATTTGTTAGACTATTCATACCATTATATTCTATTATACTTTTTTCACCAACCACTTCATTCATTTAATCTCAATAGCAAAACTTCATTGATATTGAGAAAAATTTAATGTCCTTTTTTTTCTTACAGTTTTCTTTTTCTCAAATTAAGCGACGTTACTTTTGTTTGATAGCAAGTAACCCTGAACACATTTGATAATTTTCTGTTTAGTTATAAAAAGTCGAGCACATCTTGTAGCGCAATGAAGAATTCAATATTGTCATTATTCGATGTAGATCAAATAAAAAAACCATCAGATTTAATTGAAAATTTTTATTATATTCAGATTCACTTTAATACTGGAAGACAGGAAATCTTGTTCGTTAGTAAATGAATAAAAATTAGCTTTAGCTGACATTCATTTAAATATACTCGGTGACATATATTCGTTTGGACAAATTG